CTTTTTATTACATTATAATCATTCAGTTGTTGAACAGTATAATAATAAAGCTAGGAGGTTTTCCTCATGAAGTCGCACTTACGACAATTAGATATTATCGTGTGTGGCGCCTCGGCCGGCATCGTATATATATATATATATGCGTGCGTCACGCACACGCAGGCGTAACTAGAAAGCGACGCGACGCACGTGTCACGTGGTCGCGCAGGTATCCTACCTACACGCGATCCTCACGTCGAATCGTGCAATGACGTGCCTTCCCACCCTCCGATACATAAACGAGTTTGAAGATATGTTTAGATGGTATGATTCTCGAACGATATCGCATTTTAGATCGATGTCCTTCTGTTTCTGTTGATAATCGAGATAAAATTCCTTGAAATAAATATAGAGACTTATCAGACGAATATATCTAAAAAAAATACATCAGTCTTTAAATATTCGTTGAAAGCCAACCTTTTTTTCTTTCGAAAAACAATTTTGATTCTGTAAAAATTGTGATTTGCCGTCCAAATTTTTTAAACAGATCAAAAAATATTGTATGATTTTATGAGTTACATATAAAAGAAAAGAGTCAACTGATAACAGCATCTCTAGAAGTGCTTTAACTTACAAGTTGCATATAATTGATTGCCGAGCAACTGACAGAATGTATCTCTCGTTAAACGTTTTTTTCTTTCCGTCAGTATTTACATTGATATACTGGTTTAACGTATCGACGGATAAGATAAGAAATTTCTAAATTCTACCTTGATAGGAAAATAGAATATTATAAATAGAATATTTTATTACGATTTTCATCATTTTGTACACGATGCATCGGTCCTGTTCTGATTCGAATGACAAAAAATGAGGTATCCCATTGCAGGGACTTCCTGGATTTTAATATGTGAACGCCCTTTGGCCAGCGATTTCCACACAGCGATTTTTCTCTCGTGTGTGCCTGTATGTGAAGTCACGCCGCTGGCACTTTCCCTTTTCAAGATCGATTTTGGCGCCGTGCGTCCGGACGGCGCAAGTCGACGACGTCGACGGTTCTTCAGGCAGGGCTGTATTTATACGTAACCGTCCAATTTTCTCCCCTTGTTTCACTTGTTGGTGAGAAATCGGTGGGCACGCACTGCCCTTTCATTTCGAACAATCCTGAGAGAAATTTTCTTCATATTTAAAGGACTCTTGATCTTAATCGAAACAGAATCGGCACAGAGTAATTGACCAGCAATGCTAATATAATGCTATTGTTCAAAGATAGAGAGATTCCCTCCATTTCTTTCGCAAAAGTATCCACGTACATCGCGTTAGCGACACCCACAAAAATTTTCGATCAATTTGTCCACGCTTTCTATTTATTTCTCATTCCTACCCTCCCCCTCTTTCTCTTCAGTACGTCGATCACCATGCTCGCTCCATCGACTTGTTAAATGGCAAAAAAATACGAGAGAGAGTGGGACGGACGGAAGAAAAAGAGTACTCGAAAAAAGGTGTCTTAGGCTGGGACATCAAAAGCTCTTCCACGGGGGTGACCCGCTGCGATCCATCCCTGTCCGCAAAGGCTCTCTTTCTCTCTCTCTCTCCCCCCCCCCTCCCTCTCCTTCTCTCTCTCGGTTCCTCCTCACCCCTCTTTCGTCTCCCTTGCCTCGCGAAAACCCGCCGCCTTTCGTTAAAGGTGACCCGACGAAATCGCCAACGAGTCACACGTGCGTGCAAAAGGGGAAAGAGGAGAGAGACAGGAGGAGTCCTCCGGCGGGTGGTAGGCCGCGGATACCACGAGGCAGACAGTGCACGCACTCTTCGCGCTATGTCATGGATACCGCCGAAAATCCCCTAAAGGGAAGTACGCGAAACAAAGGCCAACCCCCTTCCACCCTCGTATTGCTTGCCATCCGTCGTATCTCTTCCGTCCTCCTTTTTCTCCTCGCGTATAGCGAGGATATACGAGCGCCCACGCGTTTAGCGTATCCTTGTCTGTTCCACTCTTGCCTCTTTTTGTTCCTCAATTTTACAAATGTATGCTTAATTTGTTGTGAATTTTCGTATATACTTTTCTCAGTTGAAATGTAGCTTAATAAATGACTTAATGTAAATATAATGTACTTCTGAAAGATTTATATCAGAAATTTAATTGTTATTAGAAAGAGAAATATATCTTTCTCTCTCCAAATATATACAATTTTATTTGTGATTAAAACGAAAATGATGTATTTTCTGAGATTTTTATGATCTGAAGAAATAGAGAGAATATTTTATTCTTGAGATCTTTACGTTCATTTATACGTTTAATCATAGACAGATATGAATGAACTAATATTTAGCACTACAGTTTTTTTTATCGTTGCATTTTTATCTGATAAAGTTGCATGCACTTCCTTTTAAGCGTTATTACGTGAATAGAAATCGACATTATAGCATTATCGATCGTCAATTTGCTGATTAAATAAATTCATGATAAGCAGTTACTCATGAATTCAATGTGAATTGCAACATTAATACGGAATGATCCCTCGTTGCATGTAAGTGCATCGTCGCGGCTCAACAATGCATTCTTGCGTGTATCGAGCACATTTCGCTTTCTCCATAAATTATTTTTACAATACATGAAGAGAAAAAAGCCTCTAATCTATTAAATATATCTGAAGAAGCAAATATTATTAGAATTGTCATTTTTAATTTTAAAACTTATCGTTTTTATAAATTGATTGTATAGAAATATATAATTACAAATTTTCTACAAATTAATCTCGAGTTTTAATTAACATATGTTTATTTTTAATATGCATGTCTTAATACAATATGTATAATACAATTACAATATTCATCAAAACAGCTATAAGTATGATAATTTTTTTATGTAGAAATTTTTAAATAAAATATTCGAAAGTACGATATCTATTAATCAATTTTTAAGGAATTTTAATTTTGACCTGACAATATTTCCAGACGGTTCGTAATCTAACTGGTCAGAAACATGCTCATAGCTAATCTAGGTTGCACAAGGTTGATCGCTCGTAGTCTTATCTCACGCAAGTGCGATAGAGTTTATCCTCGAACTCGAGTAGATCCTACAGGGTCATTCGCCATGTCTTCTTCAAGGTTGCTCGAAAGCCGCGGCATCGTCGATGAGTGGGTCGGTCCGCTGAAAAATCGATACGTACGAAAGTGAGAGTCGCTCCCTCGGTTGTTCCACCCTCCTTTTTGTTCTTCACGCTTCGCGTACTCTTCTTACTTGCCGTTTGGTTCATTCATGTTGTCGTGGCGGCCGCGCCGATACACCTAAACGTGCAAGCACAGTTTACGCTCGTGCAAACCCGAACAAAGTACGTAAAGCCGGTCAAAATGAAATTTCAAACATTTTGCGCAAAAATATTTATTTCGATACATGATCCAAGGTCTTCAAAAGACTCGTCCTTTTTATCGAATCCTCCGAAATTGTCAGACATAACACACATCTGATATACTAAAATCCTTGATGTACTGACGGAATAATAAGATCCTTCGTAAAATTGTGACAATGAATTGAAGTTTTTTTTAATTAAATATTAAGATATTTAAAATAATTATAAATAAAATGTCTTTTCTCTCACGAGCTATGATTAACATATGTTCAATAAAATATATTCAATAAAATTTTCTCAATTTGCAATTAATTAGAAATGTTAATTCATGATATCTTATCATTATTTGATCCAATGTTTTAAGACGATTTCCTTTCGTGTTTAGGAATGTACAACATCAAATCAGCAAATTTGAATGTGACTTCTCCTTAGACAAAGGAAAAAATTTTAATGCTTGTATTGCTAAGAAAGGGGACTCCAAAGTGAGTCGAAATGTTCAAAGATTATTGGAATAAAAGTTCGAGATTAAACTTTGTGTATTAATTAACACACTGACTCTCAATCGTCCTGATTATAGATTCTTTTTTTTTTTTGGTAAATAAAAAGATTACAATTTCTAATCGAATTCCAAATTTATTTTTTCCAAATCTTATCGGATTATCTCTTTAATATTGCAAATTATAATATAATATCTACATATACAATATATATTGTATAATAATATGCAATATTACAGTATAATATACAATACATATAATATACAATACATATAATAATACATGTACAATATTACAACATAATAAAATATTGAAAATCATTATATATTATTATGTAAAATTATTATGTTCCACAAACAGTCGTTAAGAAAGCTTTTTTAAAAAAGTTAGTAAATAGACCAAAGAAAACATTGTTTTCTAACAAAAAATCAACTATTAAACCAAGCATCCTCGTTGTTCGATACATATTTGAAATTTAAAGAGACAATATCCGATCTCTATAAAATATTTCTGGAAAAAAAAATTGTGTTTAATTTTTATTTAACGCATGAAGTTTTATTTATTTATTTAGCATGCATTTTTTTCTTAGTTGTTGTTAAATATATAATATTGATATATTATAATTCTGTAATTTGAATATAATAATTAGTTTTATAATTATAAAACAACTTGATAAATTTGATATTAATATTATTAAGTGACGACACGTCAACAGATATGTCTCGTTATATTGTAAGACAACAATGTCGCTATGTAATGTAAACAGCCGATGACTCCCCGCCAGGGAGGAATGTTATAACTCGGCTTTCAAAGTTTATTACCGATTACCGTTGGAATCTTGCTTGCTGCCGTGTAATTCTGTCACAGTCTCGTTCAAATCTGGCACTTTATGGCAGCTCTCTTTCTTCATTTCAATCTCTACTCACTCAAGAATTGGAATACGTAAAAGGGACGCAAGATCATGTGGTATTGGAATATCTTTTACATTTGTTATACGCTGTTAATGATATTAATATCATGTTATTAGACAGTATAATTAAGAACATAAGTGCGCGCGCGCATGTGTGTGTATGTGTTAATATTATATAAAGTATCGTTTACCTCACTTTGTGTTACTTCTTCGTATTCGCTGAAATATGTCGCTTAATCCCGTATTATTTTCTATTTTCAGCAGCAGCGGGGTTGCTAAAGTCCTCGTAAGCAATTTACCGGCTCAAATACGACTAGAAGAGCTGGACCTGCTGTTCTCCAACTACGGCCAGATCCAAAACATCGAAAAAGTGCCGTCGCGGGATCCAAATACACAAAGCGTGCTCATTAGCTATGAGACGCAAGAGCAAGTACAACAGTACGTAATCGACACGGTCTTTTATACTGTATTTTTCAAAAGATCAAGCGATTTAGAAAATTCATAGCCCAGCGACTTCATAGAGGTCGCTGTCTTATTTTTGCTCACTCTTTCTTCGCTACGAAGAATCATGAAAATTCTTTCCTACCGCATGTATACATTCGTATTTGGATTTCACGTTAGGACTTTAGGAATTCGCGAATGAACACTCATGAACACACGTCCGGTTGTTTGAATCCATCCAGGATTGACTACTTGATTTACTTCATTTAGCAGTTCATTCAGGCACTCATTGATCTTGTTGTCTATTATTTGTAGGGCTGTGAACCAGTTAAATGGCTACGATTTCGAGGGCAATCCGCTGAAAGTGGAGATGTCCTCGGCGGAGAGCCGACGCAGAGGCCGCAGCCAACGCAGCGGCGGCGTGGCCTTCGCCGGACTCCCGGGTTCCGGTCGCCAGACGGATTTCCCGCTGCGTATCCTCGTCCAATCCGACATGGTGGGTGCGATAATCGGCCGACAAGGTTCCACCATACGGCAGATCACGCAGATGACGCGCGCCCGGGTCGATGTACATCGTAAGGACAATGTTGGCTCTCTGGAGAAAGCTATCACCATCTACGGCAATCCCGAGAACTGCACCAATGCTTGCAAGAAGATCCTGGAAGTCATGCAACAGGAGGCCAACAATACGAACAAGGGGTACGAGCTGGTTTTGGCTTTTTTGAATCTCCGAATTTTAAATGGAATCATAATAATCACAATGATGGTCGGGTAGATGTACATTAAATAATATAGACTATATTTTTATATATTTTATGTTAAATATAAATCTATTTTAATATTGTTTATGACTTTCTAGTAACGTATACTGTTAATTCGGTTTCAGTACACTAATATTCTTGCAATCATATTATTTTAAATAAACACAATTTAACATTGTTAATTTACATCGCTTTACCGAATCGATACCGTTGTTTCACCGTTAATTGAATTGTAATGTTAATTACATTATATTATGTTACTTGTCGACAGTGAGATCACTCTGAAGATCCTCGCGCACAATAATCTCATCGGCCGAATCATCGGTAAGGGCGGTAACACGATCAAGAGAATCATGCAGGACACCGATACGAAGATCACCGTTAGCAGTATCAACGACATCAATAGCTTCAATCTCGAACGCATCATCACGGTTAAGGGATCGATCGACAACATGAGCAAAGCCGAGTCCATGATCTCCAGCAAGCTTCGTCAAAGCTACGAAAACGATCTGCAAGCTATGGCTGTGAGTTTTATAGCATATATTACTCATTTTTTCTTGTACAATAAAATACAATTTTTCTTAGAAATCTCTCGTAAATTACAAAAATATATAGGAAAAATATAAATGTAAAAGAAATTATTAAAAAAACAAACAGTATAAATGTACAAATACTTGTATATTCACGTGAATATATCACAAATACATTTTAGTGACTTACTTGTAAGAGACTTTATTACGTGAAAATTGAGTTTCGAAGGGTTCTATTAAAAATTTTAGATTTAATATTTACTTATCAGAAATTAAAGTAAATTAAAGTAAATTAAAGTGACAAGAGTAAACTTTTTCGTCAAGCTTTCAGTTAATCTATTATAGAAACGATTGTGTCAACCTCGTTGAGATCTGGCGCAAGTAAAATACATCGATTGCGTCAGAGATGCCGTTGCGCAACGCGACGAAGCTTCTAATCGATATGATGATTGTTCTCGCCAGCCCCAAAGCATGATGTTCCCCGGCCTGCATCCGATGGCCATGATGTCCACCGCCGGCATGGGCTACAGCTCCCGTGGTCCCGGCCTCTATGGTTCTGGACCCGCCCCATATCCCTACCAGAGCAGCCTGCCTACTCAACAGGGCGTCCCCGCCAGCGATACCCAGGAGACGACTTTCCTCTACATTCCCAACAACAGTGTCGGCGCCATCATCGGAACCAAAGGCTCCCATATCCGTAACATAATCAGGTTCTCCGGCGCGAGCGTAAAGATCGCTCCTCTTGAACAAGATAAGCCGGCTGAGCAACAGACTGAGAGGAAGGTCACCATCGTCGGCTCCCCGGAATCTCAGTGGAAGGTAAGTGCGATAACTGTCTTCGTTGTTCCTTAATTTATTAAGCAAGAGCGAAATTCATAATTTTTTATTTTATAATTTCTTCAGTTTTACACGCGAATATTTATATCGACAGCTCTGTCAGATCTATTTGTTATAATTAAAATGAACACATTTTAAATATATGAGCTATAAAACCGTGACTTTTTGCTAATAATACTACAATACATAGTGTCTGAAGTCTGTTTTACTGCCCATATAATGTCGATGCCATGTTGGCAGATAGGTATCGTGTCGGTCTACCGTTGTAAAGGTCTCGGGTTCGAATCCAGTCACTGACAAGAAAAATCGTATAGAACCTTTAAAGTCCGTAAAAGTGTTCACGGTAAAGAAAGGGCCCCGTACCGATCTCGTCAAACGAAATATGCGAGAATCGGCCCCGTTTGACCCTTCAATATCTTTTTTTTCTTTTCGTTTGATATTAATTCGCTTCTGATAACTGAAGAATTTTCTTCAAGATAACGGAGGGATTTAATTTTTATATTTTTACATTTTTTTAAATAATAATTTAAATGTCAAGCTCTATTTTGCAACGCAATACAATTTTATATTGCATTTTTTAATATTTTTACATTATCAAAAATTGTGATTTCAGGCCCAGTATTTGATCTTTGAGAAGATGCGGGAAGAGGGATACGTCGCCGGTACCGAAGATGTTAGACTGACTATCGAGATCCTCGTGCCCAGTACTCAGGTCGGCCGAATCATTGGCAAAGGTGGTCAAAACGTGAGGGAATTACAGCGCGTGACTGGTAGCGTTATTAAATTGTCAGAACAGCAAGCAACTCCTCCTTCAGCAGAAGAGGAAACAACTGTCCATATAATCGGTCCCTTCTTCTCCGTTCAGGTAAAGAAACTGATTTTTTTGTATAATTTTTATAAATAAATAGATAAATATTAGATATCTGTTACGAAATATATAAATTATCTTATCTCATATGTCGTATTTTTATATCAATAATTAAATACGATAATCATTTTTTCTTAAATCTATCAAAAGAAATAACAAGCTACTAGCGCATTAAAAAGATGTAAAGCGTGAGATTTAAAATAGTAATGGATATAAATACTTTCTGTTTTCTCACAGTCGGCACAGAGAAGAATCCGCGCGATGGTATTGCAATCAGGTGCACCCGGTGGAACCGGTGGTGCTGCACGCGCCGGTCGCGGTAGCAGCCAAGAGGGTACCTCCCGTTCTAAAAGAGATGGCAGCGCCACTTCCCAGGGCGGCACGACGTCGCAGCCCAGCTCCCAACAGCAGTCTATCGGCTCGCCATCGAGCCAACAACAGCAGCAGCAGCAGCAACAGCCGCAGCCGCCATCATCGCCGCAGTAACATTAACATCGATGACACCGACCTGACGCGGACCGACGCCACAAACGCCCATCCGCTTCATTCGCCGGAGTGGCCTCGTCGTCGCTTTGACATTCTCTCTCGTCGAGAGGCTGAGCTTATCGCGATCTCCTCCTCTCGCGGGGCGCGCGCGACCCTCCCTGATGAGGGAGGGTTTCGAACGAGGGTGCGCGACGCGCAGATCGCGACGGGAAGACGCCCGGCAATGTTCTGAGAATTAACTCGATTCGAGATCCAACAACTAGGTTCGCGGACTCTCGCACTCAGTGAGGTAGTAACAATATTCCCGTTATCAGTTTTATAAATGATTCACGAGTCCTGACTCGACGAATCAACGCGGGAATTCTAGAAGAGTGCTCGGCGAGTCCACAATTCGGCGAGTTAATTCTGAGAATTCGAACGAAGAATTGTTATTCCAAAGATTCTAATTCCAAGACTCGATTGTTGTGAGTCAATCTGAAGAGTCAACGAGGCCCTGGGCCCTCCGTTCGGTTCGACACGGGCGCGTTCATCGTGATCGATGTTAATCACGTGCGAATGATTAATTTAAAGTTTTAAGTGTCCTTTTCAACAATAGGGATACAAATTGTGATTAATCGCATTGGTATTCAGTTGAAAAAAACGATTGCGATTCTTGAATTACAACTTAAACGCAAAGCTCGGCGAATGATAGGCGAAGCAAAGGCGAAGCTGCAATCGATCGGAGGAGCACCGAACATATGTTATCGAATCTGGATTTGTCCAGGTAGACACTGCCCATACGCGATCGCTGACTCTCACGACGAACTCCCATCCTCGTTGACGAGGATCGTGGCGTTTTCCCCTTTGCTCTACGCGTCGCGCCTGCGTCCCGCGCGCACACCCCCGCGATAGCGACGAAGCGACAACACACAGCCGCGCACGACCCAATTTCGCAGCGCTAACGAAACCACCGCCGCCGATGAAATAGGACACTTCGACGAGAAACAAACTGATTAAAAAAAAAAATAGAAAAAAAAGAAAAACACACACAACCTTATTACCTCATTGCATTACGGTTAAAGATTTAATACGATAAAGGAAAGTGAAACGCGCGGGAGAAGCGATAAACCGATTAATCTAAAAAAAAGAAAAAGTCTATCTAATATTAAAGTTATTAATAATATACAGAGAAGTTAAGTGACAATTACATATTATGTTATATCTGTTACTACTACTGCAACTATTACTATTATTACTACCTACTACCTACCTAATACTATTATCGCTATATACTATTTACTTACTTCTTACTAGTACTACAGGAGGAAAGCGGTTTTTCTTAAAAAAAAAAAAAGAAGAAAGCAACAAAAAACACAGATTAGGTACAGTTCTTTTATACACACAATTCAGAGACGTTGAATAATAATGTACGAGACTTAAATAATACCGAGACCGTGTATCGCGGAACGGCGATCCGTTGACGGTTGTAGACATAAGCCAGGATGTCTCAGGAGGAGAAGAGAATAGAAGCGACCCCCGCGCCCCAACCCGCCCCTCCTCGCACGTAATACCAAAGAAGCGACTATGAGTTATTTCGTATTAGTGAAGTGACATGCGTCGTGTCCGCTCTATTCGCATCAAGTTCCTCATCAAGAACCACGAAAGGAAGAGAAAGAAAGAAAGAGGGATCAGATACGAGAATGTGAGAGGGGAAAAAACCGACGAGTAATCATCAGACGACTATCGGAAGCAACGTCGACGAGACATCGAGTCGCTGGCACGAGTGATTGATGATGATGTAGAAGAAAGAAGGAAGAACGAGAAAAGGGAGAGAGGAGACAAAAGTCCGATCGTGTAATACTATATTGATACGACACGGATATTATTTTATGCCATGTTTTCAAAGTACGTCTCTCAAACATACGGAGAGAATGAAAAAGCGACTAGTCGGTACGCAACGAAGAACAGCGAGGGAGAGAGAAAGAAAGAGATAAAGATAGAGAAATACAAGGGAAGCAAAAGAGAGAGAGAGACAGACGGCGAGCGAAGGAGGGGATATAAGGGACAAAAAGTGAACAGACAAAACTTTTCAGGGATTTTTACTTTTACCATGAATGTAATAATGTGTGAGTGTGCGTGTGTTGAATAATAATTATTAATTAATAAGTAATTTGATTACTGATTAGAGAAGTTAACGGCGAGGAAAGGTGATGGAAAGAGTAAGGAAGAATCAGTCTTAACGCGAGATAGGCAAGAGATGGAAGAGAAGTAGATGGAAAAGGAAAATAGAGGGACGATATGAGAGAACGAGGTGTCGCGACGTTTGATCGCGACATTTACTCTCGCCGCGGATGGTGTGTCGCCGAGACGAGCGTCGAGACGGAGCCTCCGCGAGGCGTCTCCCGACGAGCCTGCGAACCCCGTAATTTTTGCAAATTATAGCTGTTAGAGGCGCGCAGGATCTGGCCGGGACGCGGAGAACCGCGGAGCGCAATAATCTCGATCTCGCATCGATATCGCGACTCGCAGCGCGTATAATCGGCCATTATTATCTCCGTTGCACAAGAGCCAAGAGATTCCTTTCGGAAACGAGGATAATCCGAGGATTACGCGAAGACGTTCGGCGAGGCGAAACGAAAGGAGGAAAAAAAAAAAAAGAAACCGAGACGCAATTTCGCGTTCTCCAACAGTGATGTTGCATTATTGAAAACAAACCTCGAGCCTTGCTCTAGCTCGGTATATTAATGACCGAGTACGCGTCACAGTCGCTGTATCGAGTTCTGAAGACATTCCTAAGTGATGCTTTTAGAGCGATATGGGGAACAGTAGGAGAAAGAGACAGAGAGGAAAAATGAGAGAGAGGTTCCAGACGATCGATCGCGCGGCAGGTAGATGAGGCGGAGGCAGCAAGACGAGGAACGCGATGAATCAAATTAGATTCGGAGTTGAGAACACCGACCCTGCAGAGCGGTCGTTAAGCATGACCAAGGAAATTCAACAAATACAACGGACTAATCAATCACGGCGCACGGTTTCGCGCCGATCGGAGCTCGATCGTTCTCAAAGATTCGCACAAACTTGACGGGAACGACCGATTTTATTCTCTTTCATGAATATCTGAATCGTTAATTACCTCTCGAATTTATCCAGCAGAAATGCGAGATTTACTTTTTATGATTGATCGGTGATTATCGAGTTCATCGGCGCGCAAACCGAGGCGACACCGGTATCAGCATGTGAACCTCCATCGGAGGTTCACGTCTGGCGACACGACGAGCCTCACGGGCTCGTCGATTTACACTCTCGGCGTTCGGTATGCGTTTAGTACAAAGATACACGAGGTTAAGAATAAATAAGATAATCAAGATTTAAAAGGGACACCGAGAGATAAAAGAAGATGTAATGTCTTTATTTATTTTCTTTATTTTTTTTTTTTTTTTTTTTTTTTTTGAAAAGCTGAAAATTGAAACTCTAGAGTATGTAAATATTATTTCACGTATTAACTGATAAGAATAAAATACTTTTAGTATGAGAACATGCGAGAGAGAACACGCATTGCTTCGTCGCGTATTTTTTTTTTATGTTAACCACTAAATAACGATTAACTAATCTAGATTTTTTTCGAGTCGATAATATTTGTTCTCAAAACCATAAAGATATTATAGCTAACTTTAATCATTTGTATAATTTTTGTTTTTTCTAGACTTTAAATTTAGAAAATCTTTCTTTAATATAAAAAAATGATAAATATCCGTAAATATTGACGCTAATGATAGTTTATATACAAAGTTCTTTGTCTTTCTAAATACAGTGAGAAGGTAAAAATCGAAGTTAAAATCTTAAAATTTAAACTTAATAATTAAACCGCGAAAAAATTTGTTCGCGCATACTCTAGAAATTCAATTCTCGGCTTTTTCCGAAAAAAAACCAAGGACTGATTAATTTCATGATATTATGTCTTCAACTCTGTCTCTTTTGTTGAAAAGAAAAATCTTGAAATCTTATTTCGATTTTTAACCTCGATCAACTTTAACTCGTGTTTATAAAAGTGGATATATAGAAGCTCGTAGACTCGATTGAATGTTTATCCCTGTTTCTAGTTCTAAAGCTTAGATGAAACAAGAATCTTATATAAATGGAGATTAAATGTAATCGACATTTTGTTGAATGTAAAAACTAAACTTAACGGCTCGAAAGAAGTGAGGATCAGGTAGATCACATATCTAACGCCGAATGGGCGACGAGAATACGAGTCTTCTTCTTTTCTGCTGCATCGCGCAAGGATGAAGCGCTGAATTAGCACACGAGTAAAGAAGAACAGAGAAAATGGTAAAAAATCGAAAATAGAATGAAAGAGGAAAACGAGTCTGAAAACGTAGATTTATTTTTGATACATTGTTGGGGAGACTCCAAGTGAATCTTTCTTTTTCAATTTTTTTTGTTAGATGTTTTTAATAACTTAATGAATTTTTACGATATTAAGAGAAAATAGAGAGGGAGAGAGAGAGTTTTTTTAATGTAAGATAAGAAAAGGAGAGAGAGAGAGAGAGAGAGAGAGAGAGAGAGAGAGAGGAGTGGCAAAATGAAATGATTTTCGCGGGAAAACGGATAAATTAACGTTAGAGAGAGAGAGAGAGAGAGAGAGAGAGAGAGAGGAAGAGAGAGAGGATTATAAGAGTTAATCGGGGGGATGAGGCGCGCAGCTTTTTGCGCTGTGCTCGCTCGCTTTTAGGAGGGGGAGGGGGGGGAGATTACGACGTGAAGGAGATTTTTTAGTGGGATATATAAATTTGTATATTATATTTAATAATATATTTCGAAGAAGCGACGGTCGCGGGTCTGCTCGGCGAGGCCGTCGCGCGTCGGCGAGGCGGGGCCCGGTCCAGGAACCTCGCAGTTTTATGCGAGGAACCCCGCTCGCGTCGTACCACCGTAAAGGTACAGTACCCTCGCCCAGACCTGTGCCCGCGCAGTTATTTATCAAGCGTAAATATTTAAATGATGAAAGATGGAGAGGGAAGTAGTGAGAGAGAGAGAGGGAGAGATTTGTATTAAAGCTTGTAAAGAAGAAAAAAAAAAGTTGCGAAACGGAAGGAAGTGCCAAGGGACAAGAGAGAAATAACGTTCGCACAGCATGCAAAAACTAGTACAACACAGCAATAGATTGCCGAATAGAATAGAATGCAACGGATAACAGAGGCAAAAAATACAGAGAACAATTACAGTGAAGCGCAGGTAATGAGCAAAAGGAAAGATAACAGAATGGGAGATAGCAAATACGGAATCAAGCCCTCGTTTATTCTCACGGTCGACGAATCATTTACGCTACTTCAAGATCCAATGATCATATCACGCGTCATCTTTTTGGATTTCCTTTTTGGCCCATACTTTCAAAATTTTGATAAAGGGAGACAGTGACCGGACACCTGAGAGAAGAAGAATTAAGCACGACGCGAAGCGAGACACGCGAATCGCCCCTATCACAGAGATCCGTCGTCGCCGAGGAGAAGTTCCTGACGGATATATTATACACTCGGTCAGGACTTCGTCGAGTCGGCCTTTCGATAGGTACCATCGCCCACCCGCCCTCTTTTGGAATATCTCTTTCTAAATTGAGCGAACGAAGCTTTTGCTCCGGGAAAAAACGCGGCGTCCGATATTTCGACGAGAGAAACAGAAATTCGTTTATTTTTCTTGGAAAAGTCACACCGCCGGTTTCTGGCGCGCGTAAAGAAACATTTCGAACGTATTGCCTCAAAATTTTTTCAAAAGTTTAGGTATAATATACATAGTGTTTTTACGAAATTTTTACGAAATTATCAATTTGCGAAAAACGTTAATCGCTGCGTTCTTCCCGCGGATAGATCTATATGCCCCCGCATACGGAAACTCACACCTTTCGCTCGTTTATTGGGTCTTTCAGTTTGAATATTTTTGTTGCGACGAATTTTTAGAAAAAATTTAAGGTTAAAAAAATTGGAAGAAAAGAATGAAAATAAAAAAGAAGATGAAACTTGTATTATTTTCAAAAGATAACAAACAGAAGCCAGCCTCTTTGATCGAGAAAAACAGAAGTGAACATTATTCGGCCGATTCCTCAAGCATTCAAAAAAACGCTAAGATAAAAAAGAAAGAGGAGAGAGAGAGAGAGAGAGAGAGAGAGAGAGACAACTTGCTCGCACGCTCGAGAGAAAGAAAGAGAATGTACAAATCAAACAAAATTACAAACAATGATTGAATAGATGAAATTATTAATATAATAATAACTTAAAAAAGAAAGAAAATTTTTAACGTTATAAATTATTACGTGCGCCAATGGGGCGCGCGAAAAGTTAGAGGCGAAGAATATAACTTAATCTACTGGTAGAGATATCGACAAACAAATGTACAAAATCGATTTATTGCTAAATGTTAGTATTCTAGAGTATTTTACTGTCGAAGATCGCGTAAAAAGTGAAGATTATACTAAGCTCGGCTAAGATTGTACTATTCCGGCAGATTAAGCTTAAAAATAGGAAGTTCGAGCGAAAAAAAGTAAAATTTAATTGTCATTCCGCCGAAAAAGAAGACATAAATAATGTCATTGTCATATGAAAAAAAAAAAACAATAATCAGGAGAATCAATTAGTAAAAAAAAATAAGACAACACTTCAACTATCATGCAAACGAAAAATAATAAGTATTGTATCCGTTTTTCTTTGTACGAACGCGCGTTCTAACATCGTCAATGTGTCTCTAATGACTCTCGCACAACGCAGTTGTTTATCCGATCTTCCGTCACGTTCTTTCATTAGACGCAATTTTGTATCGTTACCGATAAAGAATTGACGTCTATCACGGGACATCGCCGAACATTCTTCAGTAAGTTCAACAGAACTCGTACAAACGCGTGAACAATAATTAACACACGCATCGTATCACTTAAGAGAGTGAAATTGCAAAAGGACAAAAAGTGCACAGACGGCAGACTCTCAGGCGAAACATGCCTACGAGCGAGAAAAGGTATCTAAAAAAAGAAAAAAGGAAGAAAATAAAGAGAGCGTCTAACGCGTAACAGCTACGCGATTCGCAGTATATATCGGACTATTCCACGAAGATACACTCAGATAAGAGAGAGACAGGAAGAAAGAGTCAGACGAACGAGATGCTCGAACCAGGATGCTCTCGTTTTCATTGATCGATCATTCGCAATCCAGGACCAGTCATGAACGCAGCACAATTCTCTGCGGACGGCATCTAAATGCGTCCTTCAAAGCCAAATGCCAGCGCATACAACAGGAGTTCCTCCTCGACATAGGAGAGTCAAGAGCTCTTTTCTTATCACTGATAGCGAACATCGAGAGGAATAATAAAGCCAATATTGAAGCGAAGCGGCATTTGATCCGATAAAAGTCGATTAGTGATCAAATCCCTCCGCGAAGACCTTCTAAGAAAAATGGAGACAGTTGAAATTTCGTTCGATACCCCTCGATTTCGCGAGATTGCCGCGAAAGGAGGAACATCCTGTGTGTACCACAGTAGCGCATAGCACATCCGGAAATAGAAAGGAGAGAGAAACGAAGCAACGTTTCTCTCGACCGACATTATTCCGTATTACTCTCTCCACCGACATTACTCACGACTCACCGACAAGATATATTGATATATAAAAAATATATATATATATATATATGTTTACATATAGGTACATGTATTCCGGCATGCAGAATCCGGACGATCGATCCCGCATCACCGCGATCGCGTTCGCGAGCAACGTTTAGAGAAAGACAACTCGCGTCCAGGGTCGCGCACCCGCGGCCCGTTTGGAATTCAAACAGATTGCAGGATACTTGTCTTTAATTAATAATAGCGACTAATAAGTAATAATAGCGATAAGAAGTGATTTAAACCGATTTTTAATATTAAATACGCGTCACGTGCTTCTCGCTCAAAAAAAATGGGACGAGAATCGCGTTCGCGTTTAAGTTTGGGGGGTGATTGACAAAAGCAAAAGTAAAACAGAGATGGCAGATTGCAGTCAGGAGAGGTAGATTATTTTGGGCTTTAGTATTAGGGTTTCGATAGAGATTTGGAGTAAGTGCGATTCGGGTGCAGGAAAAACGGTGATAAGGCCGCCGAAAAAATTTCAAGGGGAATACAGTCGCTCTCTCTCTTTTCGGATTTTATTCGCGAATCTCACTCGAGGAGGAGGAAAATCATTTCGTTATGATATGTATCTCTCGTCTTCCTCGACGGATTAACGATTATTTTCCGAAAATATACGCAGCGACCGGACATCGCGATTGGCCTCGAAGCTATCTGGATAAATTGCGAATTAATATTTTACGAATTAATAATGACCGAATATTCTCGGAAATCCAACAATCGTTGGAAATGGCCGCGAAAATTGAATCGAATTGAATTAGTAATAAAATATATAAAGAATAATTAAAAAAAAAAAAAGGAAACTACGATCCTTATTTTCTTCTCGACTTTTTATCCAGATATTTTGGGCGCGATCGGACGTCCAACTTGGGAAAATCAAATGGGAAATGATTAATACTTTCGGCACAAAGAAACAATTCTGGGACCGGGCACGTGGCGGCAATCGAAGGCCTTATTATACACACTTGGGCATTGTTATTACTGTGACAGGTTGATACCGCTAAACAGATAGTATATCAGATAAGCTCCTTGGGCGTGTTGTCGCGCCTCCAGATGATAGGGACAGTGGTGAGAAGAATGGCGCTTATTTTAACGCTAAGAGAGTGAAGAAAAAAAAATGTGTATGGAAAATGTAATGTAATTCGTAAGGTGATCTAAACGACGCTAAAGGAGAATAGAGTGTGAGTAAAAATGGAAAAGTGATGACGACGGTGGGAGCCCGTTGAAGGGACTTCCGGTGTATTATCTATTATTATCCTATTGTTGCCAATAATGGGCATTATGATGGAGAACCGCGCGGATATGTAACTTATTCTCTACACTGCATTTACCCTTCCCCCGATAATCCCCGAGAAATATACCTATGTATACATAGTTACACAGCGCATATACACTATACATCTGTTGTACATAGATATATATTATATGTAAAGCTTAAACTTAATTAACGTAAGGCGGATGATTAGTCGACGTGCCAGATTATGTGCAACCCGTAAATAGCCGTTCGTCGAACGGGGCGAATGATACGAGTGAATGGGAGGAAAGCAAGAGTAATAGAGTTTTGTGCGTATGTGTGTATGAATGTGCGAAAGAAAGATAGAGTGGAAGAAAATGGAAGAGCAGAAAAATTGAGCGACATTTTTGTACGCAGTTTTCCGCACAGGTGTGCCTCGTCTCACTTTGCTACCAAATTTTGCGACTGATTATATATGCTAAGGAATGATCACCCCCGCAAGAAAGCGATCGCACGGTAAAAAAAAAACCGAGTTTCATCGAGATATCGAAAGAGACGAAAGAGATTAAATATTCTACTTTCTTCTCCAACGTCGTCAAAAAAATTGTCAGATTATCATCGATGACTCCGTCATTCGAAAATATTTTATAAGTGAGATGAATGTAAAATTTGCAATCTTCCGATTATTGTAAAAAAAAAAAAAAGAAAAAAAAATAGTAGAAACCGCGGATTTTTTTCATGGAAAAGAAGCAGACGGTTTAATTTCACCGTGCGATCAGGATCGATTCAAGGTACGATCTAACGATCGTTCCTCACGATAGTAACTATATCTCACATATAAGGCTGTCCACACACTGCCAACACTGAGATGAGGCGACCGATCGGACGCTGGAGATGATGTCGAGAGACGAGATTAATAATACTAAAACCCAAAATAGCCGTTTCCGGGAGAAAGCGAGAAAACTCCGCACACGGAGTGGAAATATCCCGCATACAAAAGAAGGAAGCAAATTCTTTTTTTTCTTTCCTTTCACTCCGTGTTTGCGCGAGAGGAATGAATAAACAGGGAATTTACGTAATACCATCGCTACCTCATAAGTTTTACAAGAATTCTATGAAATTAAAAGAAGCGAAAAAAAAGTGAAAAAAAATGCTGCCAGGCGCACAAAAAAAAAAGAGAGAAAAGAATAGTTGTTCGCGTTTTCCTTCCGTATTTTTAATCTTGGTTTTTTTCTTTATTTCTTATTTTTTTGTCTTTGTTTATTCACTTGTTGCACCGAGCGAGAAAAAGAAGATAGAATCAGCTCCGGCAGAACGCTCGAGCGATCGGCGGAAGGACTCCTTCGGAACACGATTCGGGAACAGGACTCTTGTTCACTTATGCGTTACGTTCCGTTGTTAATTTTCCTTTTTTTCTGCCATTCTAATTTAACATTCGTGCGTGATGCGCTTGTTCATTTTTCCTACGATTCGTAAAAATGTCGCGCTGTCGATCCGTACACACTCGGATAACAGTCTGTAGATCACGCGCTTGCGATTTTCCCTGCTTGCGGCGATACCGATTTTTCGAAACGACGCACACACTCCCGGGAAGAACTATGTTTTATACCAAACATAAAATAGCGTTATACTACCGCCGATAATCGCTCAGACGCCGCTTTTAGCCCGGCAGTGGTATCATTTGTCTTCAGGTGCTCTTTACGTTAATCTCTATATGTATATGTATATATATACATATATATATATATATGTGTGTGTATATAAATATATATATGTATGCATATATATGTATACATATAGTAAGGCGATTATATATTAGTGCATATCGATCATGTTCCGATTATTTTTAACAATAAATAGTAATACAAAATATATGTATACACGTCGTAAATGATGCGTGAACTGTGCCCGATCGGAGCACGTGTCTTAATTGGAAAGAGATATAAAATTTCACAAAAATCATTTATAGTTATATAAGATATGCGGAAATGTTACTTGGTAATAAAATAATGAATAAACACGAGTTGTGCTGTAATCCAATAATAATATACGAACATGTTCGGAAGCTGATTCGATTCGAACTTTTTCAAGGAAGCCGCGGAAAAAAAATCTTCCCCTTTTTCCCCGTCGGTCCGATGATAAACCATGGGTTGTACCACTGCCGGGTTAATCGACCCGCTTTTC